GACCGCGAGATCGTGACCTGGCTGAAGTCGGACGCTTAACCGACTGCGCCACCCAGGCGCCCCTACACTCTGATTTTAAAACAAGCACAACAAGGCAGCAAGCAGCCTTCAGCATCTGGTCCTTGCTGACGCTGAAGCAATGGGGCATCCCCACCATCACACGGCCTCTTTTCTCTCCTCTTGCCTGTCCCAGCTTATCCCCATCTCTCCTACGTAGCTGCACTACCCCAGCCTAATCGGTAACCTTTTGTTTTTTGGCCAATGATTTTAGCGGCCATTGTTACTCTTGCTTCAACATCGTTACCAAACATCGCAATAAAAAGATTATTCAAAAGACAGTGCCTGTCCTTAATGGTTGTGGTCAGGGGCACACGAGGTGGAAGTTTGTAAATTTGGGGGCTCAACATCAAAGGTCATTTCAATAAGAACAGGGTTTCTCATTTGACAGGAGAGGCACTTTAAAGCCTGGGATGTAACAAAAAACAAAAGTGCAAAGATCTAGTACGTTCATGCCGGAGAAATACCTGTGTTGAAGAAATGATGTCACTTATATCCCCTCCCGACCTAGGCCTTTTATACGTTCAGAATAACCGTGCTCTGTGTAGCCTTCTTTTATAAACAGCGCAGCCCATAATTTACGCACAATATTTGCAAACCAATCAGGGGGCCAGTGCTACCTTTAAAACAATGACAGAATAAACTTAAATCACAAACTTCTAAAGAAAAATCAGCTGCCCCTTCTGGCTGCTTAACAAGTGCTGACAATGATCTTTTAGCTTTAGATCTCAAGAGTCACTTAAAGAATTGTAGAACTCCCACTTTCCCACATCAACTAGCAAAGTCATTTAGAGCCACTCAAAGCAAACCGTTCCACGCGCCCCCTGCTGGTTCCACAGTAGCACTGCTCCAATAAAACCCCACAGGATTTCATTAGGGATGTTCATGCAAGAGTGATATGTCAGAATCCAAAATGAGAACATTTGCATATAGTAGGCCCAGCCAGTAAGGGAATAGGTTAATTAGCCCAAGGCAGCTCGAGGGAAGAAAAAGCAGCAGCATAAAAGTCCTTTCAAAGCCAAGCAAAATGTCAAACACATTCAGAAGAGGTCCATTAGCAATGCAAATGTAAAATTGCCTGTACAACCGAATGCACAATACCCCAAACCAGAAACCCCCTCTGAAGGTACTTCTTAAAGAGCCCGGCTTTAGTGAATCTGAAAAGGAATGCTGACTTGGTGCTCAGTAGTGCCTTAGTTTATTTATAGTGTTTATTTGAGAGACACTGGCTTAGCTGGCCCTAAAGATCTCTGTACAGACTCCAGGGCTGGTCTTCTGCTAATGGACCACCGGGACATATTGGCCTTAATGCACAGATTCAAATTTATTCTTCTGAAAAGCGAGCCATTGATAAATGTCTTTTGCAGATAATACTAATGATAAATCAAGGATCCAGTGATTACCACGGGAGCTGGAGCGACCTAGAGCCAGACTGATACAAATTTCAACCCATCCTCCTCCTCCATTTAGAATTTAGAATGTCTCTTATTTGCCACTGCAGCTTGGAGGAGACGGGGCTCTCCAATTCCGGGACACGTGTCCCATCTCCGTGCCCACTAGCTCTGTCCTATCTGAAGCTGCCATCAGGAAGCACTGCGAGGGGAGGGATTGAGTCTTGCTGTACTTTCAGAGAACCACTAGAGGGCGCCACAGTTTGCCACCAGGTCCCCGGTAACGGGATTTGGTTCTTCGTGGAATGGAAAGAATGGAGGGGTATATAACGTGAAGGTGGAAAAGCAGAGAGGGGAAAAGGAAGGGAGAGAGAAAGAGATTTAAAAAAAAAAAAGAAAAAGAGAAAAAAAGGAGAGTGGAATTTTTGCCTTGTAGGGTCTTTTTCTAGCTGCAGACAAATGGCCTCCGTGTCCCTAATCACCTTCTTGGGGCTGAAACACAATAGTTTAGGTGGGCCCCTGGGGGGGCTCACTTCTGGATGAACAACAGAAAGATTTCTTCACGACATGAAGCCACACACTATTTTCTAAACGCTAAGTTCCCAAAGAACCATATATACACATCCTACTGTTCAAACATTATTATTAAGAAAGTTACTGGATGAATCGAGACAAAGTTATTAAGGGTTTAACCACATACGGTTTGCCTGAGAATCTCGGCTCTGAATGCACTTATCTTAAGCATCTTTATGTCTACATTTTAACCTATTGCCCTATTCGTATTTTATCGTTTAACTCCGTGTAATAAGGCTTTGCTCTCCAGAGTGCAGGCCTCAAACCAGCAACACCAGTAGCCCCGACAGCTTTAGAAATGTAGGACCCCAGGCCCCACCCAGCCCTCCTGACTTAGAATCTGCATTTTAACAAGATCGCCAGATGATTCATATGCACAGGAAGGTTTCAGAAACTCAGGTATGAGATTAAATTTTCTAATCGTAAGCTTCTAAGCAAATTAAACTTCTCTAGCCTCTCTTTCTGATGAAGGGGGTGTTGAGAAAGCAAACGCAGACTGGATGGAGCCTTGGCGATAAGCAGCTAATATTTAGGAAATATGCCGGTGTTTATTTGGGGGTCACTGAGACTCAATAGAGTTCTAAGTAACAAACGCTCCTTTTCTTCCTGTTCTTTGTGTCTTCACAAAATATATGGAAACGCACTTTAAAAAAGCTGTTATCATCAATTTTATATGAGACTCAATCATCAAGACGCAAAACAAAATTTAACAAAAGAAGCCCCACACTTACATCTTCGCTAGAATTCAAAAAAACTTCCCCCATTACGGTCTTTCAGAAATGATAGGAAAATGAGATGCTTCTGAGCTGGAGGATGTGGGAATGTGTCCCCATGGAGTCCAAGTCCTGTAAATAACAACTGCTTTCAACGGGAGCCACTCCTAGGAGTTGGATACACACAGTCCTAAAACTGCTCTCCCAGGTCATGGCTGTACACGGAGCTGCTCTGCCCGGCACACCCAACTGTGTGAGTTTCCGAGCTTGAGCGGACCCCATGGCTGTGGGACACGCGCGTCTGTGCACGAGAGAGGCATGAACTGA